TCACTGTGGGAAAGAATGACTAAGGCACCATGGAAGGGAGCCCCCTCAATCAACCAATGGATTCCTGAGGTGGGACTTGGTACCAAAAAACAAAGAAACAAACTGAAAAGGCCATTCAAGTAGTGAGTTGACATTAGGAAATAGGGGTGGAGGGGGCCCTTTGTGGGAGAGAAATGAAAGTATGTTTGGAAGTTCTGCAATGCATGTGAAATCCCAGGAGGAAACTCAGTACTCCCTGACAGCGGATGCTTGAAACAGTCCATAAAAAAAACCATACCTATATGTCTCTCCCGAAAACATGTTTATCTCCATGCATCACCTTAAAATACCCACATCTCCATTTCTCTGCATGCTCCTGTGACTTTATGGCTAAAAAAATAAAATGTTCCCTGTAAGGAAGCCACTCTACTGTAGCAATAAAATATCTTCAGCATTGCAGCAGGATCTGAACGCTATCCATTGAAACAGGAGTACATCTCCTCTTCAGGAGCCTGGGAGGGCTGGGGGAGAATAACTGAAAATCATCTGATTTTTTTTTTTGACATGAGCATGAAAACCTGCATTGGTAAAGGGTATTGTGAAGCCTTCTTGAAAATTGCCAGGACCAACAGTACATTAGAGTCTCCAGCGTGCTGTGGGGCAGGGAAACTCAACCCTTTGCCTTCCTTTAGGTAAACATGCTGATAATTACCAGCTAAACGCATGTGGTTTTGCTCACTACCAGAGGATGAACTGCTGGAATCTCAGGACCCAAATTAATACAACTGATATGAATGGGACAAGCCAATCTTGGATGGGGAGCTGAGCTTGAGGAACCTTAAGGAAAAAAAATGTCCTGCTTTGAGAGCAAAATCTTCATTACAGATGTACAGGGTTTGAGGGGTGGTTCTGAATTACTTTGCAACAACACAAATAGCAGATTCCTCTGAAATCTCAGCACGTTGAATTCCAGAGAGACCCAGGGACTATCTTACTGACAGGAGGCCCAAATTTTGTACCTTCCATGGAAGGCTCAGCTGCTGGTTTTCTGGAATGGAACTTAGTGCTATTTTTTGGATCTCTCCGTTCTTATTGCAGTTCTGATCCTATGGAAAAATCACAAAGCACATGGAAGTGAAGGAGCCCTTGGCCTGGCAGGGTCAGCATCCCTTGGACAGCCTGAGTAGATGGCCTTTTTGTTTATATGGTGTCTTATGTTTTGTGTTCTCCATGCTCAGGGCTTCCTCCGTCAGGCAGCTGGCAGGACCTGAAGGATCATATGCGTGAAGCTGGTGATGTTTGTTATGCAGATGTACAGAAAGATGGAATGGGTGTAGTTGAGTTTCTCCGCAAGGAAGATATGGAATACGCACTGCGTAAACTGGATGACACCAAATTCCGCTCTCATGAGGTGGGTTCGTGCCTTCAAGGGAAGAGCGTGTGTGTGCACAGTCATGGAGGAGCATACACTTTCTTTCCTTGTCATGCTGCTCTCAGGAGGCATAAGAACAGAACCTAGTGATAACGTTGGAGTTGGTGGTTAATAGTGACCTATTACAATAATATAAAGGGTCCTTCTTACCTTTTGTGACACATACCCCACTGTGGCTTGGCATGTTAGGGTCTTGGCTCAGTGCGTGAAGTAACTAATATTGGATGTTTTAAAAATATAACATTTAGAAGGGGCGGGGCTCAGACAAGCCCGTTTGTCCTAGCTGAGAGCTGTACTGTTGGCTGCACCCTTCATTACCTGGAAGCCAAGAATTTGGACTGCTTGCCTCTGACTTCTACAGGGTAAGCTAGCTTGCTGTGGCATTCTCCCTTTGGCCACAGTGGCTCACAGCCTTCTCCTTTCAACTAAGCCAACTCATGTTGCCTGTGCCAGCTGGGGGCTTTGTCAGCAAACTACAGTACTCTCCCAAAGAACAAGCTGGTGAACAGCTGTGTTGGTTTCTATAGCTGTTTTTCCCATGCCCCAGCATGGAGCCTCTTCTTCTGGTGGTCTCCTGGTGTCTGAGCCAGTAAACCACAGCTTTTTCATTCTTGGAGCTGTGCTACTTCATTGCAACCACCTTCCAGTGGCTGAGCTGTTCTGCTCCAACCATCCCCTCAGCTGAAGGCTGAGTGTGCTTGCTGTGGAGATTTCCTTACAGAACTTGAGGTGCTGATATATGATCGTGACCTGAGAGTTTGGCCTCTCCTTACTGTGCTGAAGGACCGTACTAGTATCTATAGTTATTTCCCTCCAGCAGTTAAGGATGGAGTCAGACCATTGGGACCTTCACCCTCTGGCTATACTGGTTGCCACAGCCTCTTCCTTTGTGGTTGGATGTGGGAGGCACTTGTCCACGGTCCTCTTCTGGCTGCTGCGCCTCTGCCCTTGCAGATGATGATGGCTAGCAAGGTATTTCTCACTAGTACATGCACAATACTGTTTTGTAACGAACCTCTTCAAGGCATCAAGTGCCAGCGCAGAGTTTGACCCGAGCAGCAGTAGATGGATTTATACTGCCCTCTTTGTGGAAACTCCAGTCTTTGGTTATTTATGCTTTGGTCTTAAACTCCATTTGGTGTTATTCATATTAGTGGAGGACTGTTAATCAGGATGCTATGTAAATGTTTGGGTTTTCTTCTTTGTTTAAATTTCAGGGTGAAACTTCCTATATCAGAGTCTGTCCCGAAAGAAGTACCAGCTATGGCTACTCGCGGTCCCGTTCTGGTTCAAGGGGTCGCGATTCTCCCTACCAAAGCAGGGGATCACCACGCTACTCATCCCCCTTCAGGCCATACTGATTGCATCCAACAGGGACTTTTTAAAAATGTGAACTGAGCCTCTTTTTTGCTCGGAATTTACATTCCAAAACTGATGGATATAGTCTTTCGTAGGAGCTCTTTGTTTTTCCTTTTTATTCAATAAAAATCTTTTTTTTAATGACTTACAGTTTTTACTAGGGAAATGTTGGTAATGAAATATTTTGAACCTCTGCAGTTCAGTCTTGTTTTTGGTTTGAAAAATGTCAAGTGTACTTTTTTCCCTCCTAACTGAGGAAAAATAAGCTTGAGAATTAGCGCAGTAACTATTGGTGGCTTGTCTGCAGGACGGTGATAAAAAGCAATGGAGTGACTGTATGACTCAGCCTGTTGTGTAGAAATATATTTAAATGTTTTAGTAACTCACAAGCAGTGGTTGTCTTTTGTACAATTAGAGGAAGATCATTGCATTAAGAGGAGGTGGGAGCAGGTGCAAGCAACTCTGAGGTGTGGGCTGGTAGGTGCCTAAATATGTACTGAGAGAGTGGTTTTCCCTTGCAGCATCAGAACAGTGCACTCTAGAATGGCAGGTGGAGGAGGGCTGAACTGCCCGAGGGCATTTTCACACGGGAAGGTGTTACTCTTAATGAGCTGGCTTTCTCCCCTTTACAATAACTTAGTGAGAAAAAAAGGGAAAATAAAATTGTGCTATAGCACCTTTTTCAGTTGGAGATCTCAAAGTGCTTTATGCATTTATCAAGCATCTCTACTCTTATGCAAAAGTACTGCTTGTTTTACAAATGCCTAAAATCACAATGCAGCCAGAGTGATTTATATGACGTCACGGAGTCAATGATAGGACAAATAATAAAGTCCAGGAGCCATGGCTGTTCTACTAAAATTTCCTCTAAATAATAATACTAGGAGTACTTTTCATCCATAGATCTCAAAGTGCTTTACAGAGGAGGCTGGTATCATTATCCCCATTTTACAGATAGCATATGTGAGGCACAGCGGTGAAGTGACTTGCCAAGGGTCATCCAGGAGAGTAGTAGTAGAGCTGGGAATAGAACCTAGGTCTAATGAATCCCAGTGCATGGCTCTAACCACGAGCACACTGCTTTTAGTGGAGACTTCTCTTTGAGCTCGTGGCTCAATGTCTACCTGGGCTACAGAAGCTTGATAGACTGCTTAATTTTCTAAAATCTGCTCTGATGTGTGACCAAAAAAGTTACTGTGCATCTTTATTTCACACCTGACTTCACGTGATGTCTAGCTTCCATGTAGTGGAGTTATTTAACATAAATGACAGTTTTGCTGCCTCAGCCTGTGATAGGAAGGCTAAGCTATGCTAGAGCATTTCAGCAGTGCAAGCAATTGTGATGCTTAACACCTTTTGTATCCCATAGAAGTGCTTTTAGTGGTGGATAGACACTAGCAGCATTACTGCAGTTACACTCACTCTGAGCAAAGCCCACAATGGTTGCATCCTGCACCAGCTCACCACGCTATCAATGTGGACAGAAAGCAGTGGGACTTCATTTGTACCAGGGCAACTGGTCTTTTGAATACACTTTCATAATGGCCCTAGAATCTTTCTAATTTTCTGTCTGAGTAAGGATCTCCAGCTTAAAGCCATTATTTCACTTAAGGAACCAGCACGTTTCCTATACAACCTAAATAGAATTTTAGGTAACTAATTTACAAGCACAAAACTGGACGAAGCACTGGATAGAGTGCAGCGTATATAAATATGGAACAAGATACCGCGTTGACATGGAGGTACTTGGTAGAGGCAAAAAAGTTCATAAAGATTGCAGCATCTAATAAATCAAGTGCTTTCTTAGTCTGTAGGGAAAAGTGAGTAGTGGCAAAAAGCAGTTTTATGTAACATTCTCCTATGTGGGACTTTGGGTAAGTATCAGATCACTGAGTGACAAGATGGGAGAAGCTCCAAATTAATCTAAGTACTGCAACGTTCTACTCATTCTGCTTAAGTAATTTGACAGTAAAATAGTACCAGTTTCCCTCCCCCAATCAGCAGGGTTGATGGAGGCAGCTGTTGTGTCTAGAGTGCTAACTGTGCATGATATTTTCAAGGTTGACATTTGGAAAGCTTCACCAAATACAGACTAATCAGAGGCACTGAGGCCAAATTTCTAGATTTGTAATTGGCCCATAGCCTTCCACCTTTGTATATACTAGAAAAATACTTCAAACCTTTAACTTTAAAGTAATTTTACAGAAGAAAGGAAGGAAGAAAAATCAAATAATTATGTGAGGGTGTTATTCTTGGGATTAGACACTTGCATCAAGATATTCCACAGCCATGGTTGCATATATGCCAATTGTCACAGATGACTTAAAAGCTGAAGTGGCATTCCAGACCTTGACTTTCACTCGGATACCTGCAGAAAAGTATCTCGTTCCTCTAGCTTTGGTAAAGGGATGTTACCTATTAGCAAACAAAACAAACAATGATAGCATGAGACAAACTGCTCGTTATTTAGTCATTCCTACTACCAAACATACACTTGCCCATGTGGCTCGCTTTAAAAACTTACAGCTGACTAGCTTTTCCCCTGCAAACAAGCTCCACTTTAATTTACAGACAGTTATCTCTTAGAACAAGTCAAATGTGTGCAATAACATTAGGGTAGGATAAAACCCTTTACTTGCTATCATTGCCCTACTTCAGTATCTTTCTGCTACTGGCCAGTGCATTCAACTGTGGCAGGTTACATCTCTCAAACCAGCTCAAGCCATCTACCTGGGCTTTATCAAGTCCAAATGAGTTATATATAAAAAGATGGTACCTGGTGGGGCTATGAAATATTCCTCAACTGTTTCTCTGGCATTTCGCAGCAGCTCCTCAGTGCAGTTGCCTTCTGTGATGTTATCTTCTCTGAGATACAGACATCTGAGGAGCACAGGAGACTACTAGCAATTTCTGAGACTACCTTCTTTGCCAACTAAGTACAGGAGCATCTGGTACTGGCTATAAAGTCATGCCCCTAGAGCCAGGGGGAGATTGCCTGGTTCTCAAACAATTAACATTAATTTTCTAAGCTTGTTCCAGTTCAAAATGCTATTAGCATATCTTACATAGGTGAGCAATCTCAACTTCCCTCCTGCCTGTCCTATAGCTCAGTTAGCCGACCAGGCTCCACATATAACCATACAAATGATCTATTGTAAACTACAGTGAAACCTTGGGAAATTTCCCAATGTCCTCAAATCAGCAGGACCTTCAGCACTGAGCTGTACATGGACACAAGCACAGAAGCGCTGCATTGGACTTACTGCTCAAGATTATTGGCACTACTTTGTTAAAAGCTGAGTGAGACAAACCCTATATGAAAGTGTACAGTCAAGCTGACTTCTTGACCAAGTAAAGCTGCAGAAGAAGTGACAGCAATACAAAGTAGGCAGCCTGTGTATCAAGAGCAGCAGGGATAAACACATTTTGAAGTGACTCGGGATCTTGTTCCAGGATCATTTGGGGGACAGCATGTTGTGACATGAAGACTCCGTGCAAGATACATTAAGGAATTGGAGTACATCTTTGTTATGCTTCTGTGCCTAGATCAGGGACATCACACAGACGTTTTTCCTACATAGAACCACATTGACGTAGAACACTAGATAAAGTTTTTGTGGAAAAGGGACCAGTTTCATAGCTGGGATGATTAGTGAAAACAGTGTTTCTGTTGAGACTATGGGTGTAATAAACAACTTGGTAAGTTAACAGATAAGCAGGTCACTAGCCATGATTTGTTACCTGTCCTCTAGTACTGAATCCATTGGTTCTACCCCTTCTGTGTTAACAGCATGAAGTTGATCAGCAAATTGGATTGCTTTCTCCAGCCGTTGTACACCCTCCCAGTTGCGGAAGTCAACTAGTGCCAGACGTTCCAGGTGATCAAGCACCTCCACAGTTACTTTTTTCTGCAAAAAGAAGGAAACAAAGTCACAGATCTAGGTCCTAGAAGGAGACTGCCACATACTGATGAGTTGGTGTGGGCAGAGA